ATGATATTGGTTCAAGGACTCAATAACGGAGAATGATTTCTTTGTTACTTTTCACCTGCAATTTATATCTCCGGCGACATCGTCCGGCTTTTGTGAATAGAACAAGTAATGCAAGAACGCGCCGGAATCTGGATTCCGCTCCAACTTCAGTTTACCAATTTCCCGCCAATCGGAGATTTGGGATCCTTTCAATAAGCATAGCGTGGATTTTCGACTCCAATCTCCCTTTAGAATATTTGCTATAAATATTAATAGGATTAATTTTAATGATGTTGAATTGGGGCATCATTGTACAGTATGATCCAGTGCCTTGAAAAAGATAATGAGATTACAAGAAAAGTTCTTGAGTCATCGGCGGTGTCCTTCCAGAAATTTTTTCAGTTGATTAGGTTAGTTAATGACGAATAGGTGTAACCCTTTTTTTCATCAATTTGGCTTGCAAACTAATAGCAAAGATTGAAAATTACTTTTCGTTGTGGACTGAAATAAAATATTTAGAATCATTGGAGCGGCAAATGGTCGTTATGAAAATTGAAAACTAAAAAGTTTTTATGGCTTTAAATTTGCGCAAATGCGGCCGATAAGGCAACTTAGCAGCTAAAAGCAGTAAGACTCTTGCCCTTTTGATAGTTTAAACAAGAATAAAAAGAAGGGAGGAGATGAAGGGAGCCGAAGCACTGTTGCATACAGATAAAGAGCCAAACCTTAATTAGAAATGTCAAAAGTTGGGAAAACAGAAATACCAAAATCACCAAACCGAGGGCAGGTCTTATTAAATAACATATACTATTAATAAGACATTAAAAATATAATAACATCACCATAACAAAACAATATTATAATGAAATCACTTACTACAACATAAGCCAACACTGAAAACTTAAAATATACGTTGAGAGAGTATACAGATTGTATGAAAAGTGAGAAATAGAAGTAATAAACCTGCTGCCAAATAGTTTCCAGTCGCCTCTCAGAGATGCTAAATATACACTTCTGCAATGATAGCCACAGTCTTAAACCAACAACTTCTCATAATGTTTTATTAAGATCCACACTTACTCCATAGAAAGCAAAGACCCACGTGTTGTAATTTTCAAAGACAAAGCTTATTGCACCAATCTTCAGCCACTGATTTGTGCTCCCCAAGCAAATTAAGTGAATAATACCATTTTGAATAAAGCAATTCCACCATCTCTCTTCCAGTATCTACTAGAAATCTAATATCAACATAATAGTCACATATGTAAGGATCATATGGATAGTGAACATGCTAATAGGCCATCCAAGATTTTTTCTTATCAATCGTTCTTGTGCCAATCCTTCACAACTTCAAATTCTTGGCATTTTCAATTCTCCCCTTTCAAATTTTATATCAAGAAGGCCACGCCCTTTTTATCCACCTTAAACTTGAAACTCCTGCCCTCGTTGGTAACTTTTGTAGCAGTTAGTAAAAGACTGTTTAATAACAAGCAGATTCAATTCGTTTTGGACACTGGATGTTGTAGGAATCTTAATCTTCTAAATCAAATCAGTAAAGTGCTTAGGCTTCTCCTCAAATTTCTTTCCTTCTGTACTTGTAACTTTTCATCGTCTTTGTGCTCTTTTTGACAGCAGAACATATTCGAAATCCAAAACGCCATAAAAAATGGAGAAGCAATCGCAAACATCTATTATTTTTTATGATCGTCATCATCAAATGCCTTGGAGGCACGCAGGTAATACCCTAAGTTGGTGAACACGAGAGAAAAAAAATCAGAATTTTCCAGTAGCAAATTCATATAAATTCTCAAGCACAAAATAAGGCAGCTTGATTTTCAGCAATATCAATTTCTTCTAATATGGCATCTTTCGGCTAGATGGTTTTCCTAAATATATATCAGCTTTATATTCTTCTGATTCGTTCCTGTTGCAATATCTTTTTTTTCAAGAATCAAATTTAAGATAATGACACAGAATTCCAATAAGAAAATCATTCTTACAACACATGTTCTGTTCATACTGCTCAAATGTTTGATCATTAACAGTGACGGAATTTTTAATTCGTATTCCTCTAATTTTTTGTTTTCAAGGCTCAACCCATAGGTCTTGCAGTCCTTCTGCGAATTCTGGCCAGATATTCTCAGTTTTTTTGCTCTCTGCCATAGGTTTCATGAATCTTCATTGTGGTGAAAAGGGCCTATGGAAATCATTTGAGGAGGTGTTGTAGGCCTGACGGATTTATAGCCTCGAAGTTTTCTTGAAAACTCTGTTAGATACAAATTTCTGGCCATAAAGCTGGCTCCGATAGTAAACGCGCTAAGTTGGTCTGTTATGTCAATGACTATTGCTTTCGCCCTTTCAGCTTTCGACATCATTTGAATTACTTCCTTCACCATTCTGTTCCCATCCTGCCCGCCAATGACACCTAAATATACTTCAAAATATATATATTCCTTTTTTTTAAAAAATATTTTTGTTAAATTAATTAACTCCATTTGGCACACAACACATCTTTTTAAGCAACCCAAAAAAGAAACTTTTTGACAGGGAGAGAATCAAAAAGCTGAATATTACAAGGAACAATGTATAAGAATTGTTGAAATCAAAGTAATTCAACGGTTATCAATATTACATTTCCAGTAATGAAAAAAAAAAAAGGCAAAATTTTTCAGGAGAGTGTGCAATACCTTACGTGCAGATTTTGCCCGAAGTAGTTGGTCATGGGCTAGCAGTTGAAAGCACTCAGGTTTTTTCCTTCAAGGCGGACAAAAATGTGTTGGGCGTGGGGTGTATCCAAACAATATTAACCTTTTTATAGACGAAATGCTCTCTTTGATTTTTCTTTTCTCATGCAACTAATGCAACCGCTCTGGTTCCTACCAAATTAATTAATTAAATTTGATAATTGTATTGCCTTTATCAGTCGTAGCTTTATATTTAATTTATTTTGTTTTGTAAATCAGTTGATGGATCACAAATTTAAAGTTATTTCTTTAAAAAATAAGGGTAGTTTCAAAGTGTATTTTCTGGGTAATTTTTTAAAAAAAAACCTCACTGGTACAAAATTTTAACTCAATACTATCTCAATTTAAATGTGAAAATACAATATTTTCTATGTGAAGGGAGGAGTGCGGCAAAACTGACAGTGGCAAAGAAGTGTTTTTGGAGATTGAAAGGCCAGAATTTATTCCTTTCAAACAAAAATAATGTTAGGTTATATTATATATAGTGGGTGGCATATTTTCCAAACCTAATTTTAAGGTCGAATGCTCTCTTTCAGTTGTTTTCTTTTTTCTTCCTTGATAATGCAATCCTGTTCCTGTCCTTAATATGGTACTCCTCCTTCGTTACACTTTAATAGTAAAGCAATTTATGCATTTTATCTTTATTCCACTTTAAGTATTTATTCAGAATTCTGAGACTATATTAATTATCTATTTTTAAAATTTTATCCATAATTTATTAAGTATTTTTGTGAGCAAAATTAGAATGAGGAGCTTTTTAAATTTTTTAAAGAAGGACAATTGACCCATTTCTAACTCTTATTTTAAAATTCTCATTATATTTCAATTATTTTCTTAATTTTTATGAAAAATTGAATGTCGCTCGTAAATTGGAAGAGAGGAAGTAATAAATTTTTGGTAGTCCACGTTGTTATTGACTTAGTAACTAATTAATATTTCATGTCTTGGTCTCAACATACTTAGAAATTAGTAATTGATGAAGTTAAGCTAAAAATTTTTGTCAAAATAACATGTAAATATTTTGGACCATAATCTTTGCACAAAAATTAAAAATAAATTACTTAAAGTTTTCAACTCCTACATGAGTATCCAATATGTAAAGTTGTAAACAATAATATTTGGTAATAGAATGTACTTAATCAAGTTTTAAGAAAGATTTAAATGAGATTAGGATTAAAAAATTTACAAAAGTAACATATAAAAGTGGTTTGAAAAAATTAAATTTTAAAGGTTGCTAATTAATCTTTATCTTTATATCTATTTAAAAAATATTTAAAATAATAATATCAATTTAAATTATAGAAAAATTAAACAAAAATTTCTATAAATTCAAAAGAAAAGATTTTATCCTTCAAAAGCGAACAAAAAATGTGTTTAGGTATATTTATATATAGTGGGTGGCACATTTTTCCAAACCGATTTAGGTATAAAAAATTAATGTCGCTCAAACGGATGAAGTAATAAATTTGTAGGTCCCACGTTGTTTTTTTTTTTTTTTTTTTGAAAGGGAGTAGGTCCAACTTTTTGTTATTTGACTAGTAAATTTGATTATATTTCATGTCTTGATCCTCTCAAGTACACTATAGTTAATTTTTCCAAGGTAAAATATTGGTAGCAAATTTTAATTGCAGAGATACTATAGATGCCCTCACGAGGTTGTTTGCCACAAAATAGTTCAGAGAATCAGTAACTCTATTAATATTTGAGTGACCTATAGAGGAGGCACACGTGTTTTCAGCTGCTCGTTTTAATTCAGCTTTAATAAACGACAAGTCGCAACAAGGTGAAGGATAATTGCTCCAGTAGAATGACAGCAACAACACGAAGAAGTGAAGCGCCAATGTCACGGGACAAATTCCGTGACTGTGTTAGGTCTTAATGAAAGAGCGTACTAAGGCTTGGCGTTTCAACCTGCAGGGTTCGAGGCGGCTAGCGATTAAGGCGTTGTTCCACCTCTAGTGGCCCTTACCCCATTTTGCAAAGTCTAACATGGCAGGCGAGGTATTGTGCCGCGGGGCCACAACTGGTCGGGTGGAGCTTGGGCTGCTTCCTTATGAAGCCCATGCAGGCGAAACCAGTGTGGTACGGTATGAATAAGGCTTTGCCTCGGAGAACAAAGTACTGCCATGTTGGGCAGGCCTCCCGGGGCGCCGCACGGCGCAGTGCTGCGCAAGACTCCAGGCCCATTACAGAGTGGTATCAAGAGTCGACTTTGCTGGCACGTTTTCGAAGTCCACTTTGACTAAAGACAACCGCACTCCAGGGTTAAGAGTCGAAATGTTTACCGCCTGTGTCTTGACACCACGTGGTGTCGAAGCAATGGGCGCAGTCCTAGGGCACACAACTCCAGGCGATGTCGAAGCAAATGGCGCATGTCGTAGGCAAATCGTTACTACTTTTTCACCCGATGTCCGAAGCAATGCGAAGTCGCTAGGCGATCGGCAGTGGTCGAAGCCAATGGCATGGAGACCTCAGGCACCGTGAATGTGGATAGGAGCATATTTAACGGGCAAGCCATGGATAGAAGCAGAGCCAGAGAAGTGGGTCGAAGTGGGCGCGTAAAAGCAAGAAGCGGTCAAGGGCGAGTCCGTCCTCCTCGGCACGAGGACGGTGCTGAAGATTGAGTGGGGGAGGATGGTTCACGGACAAATTCGATGATGAACACAGAATCCTAATAGAATCAGTTTTAGCAAACTATGTTGTTTTTTCATAGGCTAAATGTTTGGTCATAACAGTGAACGGATTGTTTCTTCCATTCTTAATTTTCCTCTGCAAGAATCAGCCCAATTCTTACCGGTCCTTCTGCAGAATTCTGCCAAAATAATCTCATTTTGTGCTTCTCCATTGGTTTCAACGATTTTTTTCATTGTGGTGAAAGGGCCTATGGAAATCAATTTGAGGAGTGTAGGGCTGCGGATTTATAAGCTCGAATTTTTCGTTGGACTTTGTAGATACAAATTTCTGGCCATAAAGCTGGCTTGGCGATAGTAAATCCTCTAAGTTGTCTGGTAATGTCAATGACTAATTGCTTTCTGCTTTTCAGCTTTGACAATCAATTTGAATTATTACTTCCTGCACCATTTCTGTCCCATCTAACCAAGAAACGCCTAATACATTTTCAATTTTTTTTTTTTTTTTTTTAAATGTTAGCTAATAAACTCCCATTTGGACAGAAACACAATCTTTTTAACAACTAAAAAGACTTTTTGATAGGGAGAGATCAAAACTGATATACAACGACAATCCCATGAGAATTGGAAAATCAAAGTTAATTCCAAGGTTTTATCAACTATAATGTTTCAGTAACTTGAAAAAAGATAAAATGGCAAATTTTTCAGGAGAGTGTGCAAACCTGAAGTGGCAAGATCTTTGTTTTCCCTGAAGAAAGGTGGTCTAGCTAGCAGTTTTGAAAGCACTCAGATTTTTCTCCTTCAAAGCGAAAAATGTGTTGGCTGCGTATTAGACAACATACTCTCTTAATTTTTCTTTTTCTCGTTAAATAAATGCACGCCTCCATCACTGTCCTTCCACTATATTAAAGTTGATAATTGTATTTCTTTAATCAATCATGCATTTCATATTTAACTTTGTTGTGTTTGTAAAATAAGTTGATGGATAAGAAATTAAAAGTTTTTTTCTTTAAAAAAAATAATATCGGTAATTTTTTAAAAATTCACAGTTACAAAAATTTAACCGAAATACTATCTCAATTTATATTTTGAATACATGTTTACTATATGAAAGGGAGGAAGTGTGGCAAACCTGAAATGCAAAAGAAGTGTTTTTGGAGATTGAAAGATAGATTTTAATGCCCTTCAAAAGCTAACAAAAATGTGTTAGGTTTATTATATATAGTGGGGTGCATATTTCCAACCAATTTAAGACAAATGCTCTCTTTCACTGTTTCTTTTCTCCTCGATAATGCATCTTCCTATTCTAATATATCACTTCCTCCCTTGTTACACTTTAATTAGCAATAATTAAATATTTTATTTTGTTTTACTTTACGTATTTAATTTAGTATTTTGAGACTTATAATTAATTTATTATTTTTTTAATTTTATTTTATATTATTAAGTATTTTTTAGCAAAATTAGATGAAGGATCCTTTAATTTTTAATTAAGAATATTTACACATTCTACTTTATATTTTTGAAAAATCAATATATTTCAATCATTTTTTTAATTTTTATGAAAAAATTAAAATTTTCCTAGAAACAAGGAAGTAATAAATTGTAGGTTCCACATTGTTATTGACTAGTACACTAGAGTAATAAAATTCATGTCTTGATTCTCTCAGTACACTATGAGTTAATTTTCCAAGGTAAAAATTTTTGTGGCAAAGCTTTAATAGCCCTCACTTTTAACATAAAGTCTTTAACTCATTTTTAATGTTATTACATTTATTATGGACAGTTATTTTTTATGACGGAAGTTCCCACGTGGACTTTACTCGTTTAACTTTGTTATTTTTTAATTTACATAATATTTAAGGTATAAATTTTTATTTAAATTAAATAAAAACAACGATTTATTAATGTTGGGCATTTTTATATATACAATGAAATTTTAAAATGTGTAATTTTTGTTTTTTAAATTATGAATATCTAATTAAAAGAACAATGATGTTTATGTTCTCTCCGCTCTTTAATTAAAAAAAATATATATATAATTTTATTGTTAATTTAATTTTATAAAATCACTACAAATTTCGCATTTATCATACCTGCAAAATATTCTATTAATTTGGTAATATTATAACATTAATCTAATAAAATCACGTTTACTGTTAGCATAGGCCACAATATAATGTTATACTTTTGATCTTCACATCATTATTTTCAC